TCCAATCATGCAAGTTAATATTAACCTATTCTATTCGTTGATTTGGTGATTGAGTATACTTGGAATTTCAAAATTAATTCTAGATGAATGAGAAATTATTGTCCAAAGTTAGAAGGATAAAACGGGAATTCAACATATATGACCGTCACTTGAACAACAGTCTAGCACACAGCGAGCGGCAAACTCTCGACTTTGAGCAATTGAGCGGCGTGTTGAGCGGCTAGCAAACGGTCTGCAAAGTTGCATCCCTTCATGAAACATGTCGAATTTTGTATCTTAAAAGATGATTGCCAATGTAACACCCCAAATTTTTATTTACTATTTTCACATGGGCGTAAATTAAATGTTGGTAATTTAGCAAATGAAATAGTCCATGTTTAGCCTTGTAGTCATACTAAAGTCCAAAAGTTAGTGAAACTCTACCAACTTATTTGCATAAAGGATTTATTTGCCCACGTGTACCTTTTAGAATTTGGCGTAAGTTTTTTGGGTCGAATATTTAAGTATTTTAAAAGTTGATAAAATATATTAATGTTATACTCTTTTTTTAGCTCATGATAAATAGCATAAATTAGGCTCAGAAATAAATATTTTTGGACTAGTAATATTCGAGTTATTTTGATAGAAAGAAAGTACTTTAAATCCTATATTTTATTAATAAAATAATATAAATAATAATAAAACGAAACTTTCATTTCAATTCAACTCAGTACTGTTACATCGGAATTTGAAAATATATTATTATTTAATATAGTAAACATAATTAATTCATTAATTTTGATAATAATTAATTCAATTAATCTAATAAATTTTTCCAATTACCTCAAATGCATTTAGAAAGGAAGTACTCTAAATCATATATTTTATTAATAAAAAAATATAAATAATAATAAAACGAAACTTTCATTTCAATTTAATTCAATACTGTTACATCGGAATTTGAAAAGATTTTACTATCTAATATATTAAACATAATTAATTAGTTAATTTTGATAATAATTAATTCAATTAATCTAATAAATTTTTCCAATTACCTCAAATGCGTTTAGAATTTAGTTGACGGGGGTTACGTGTAGTGTGCCAGATTATATATATGTACGGACTGATTAGAGTGTATTTTTTCAGAAAAACTAAACACGAGTTCACTTTCTATAAATTTTGGGAAATGATGTTTGTCCGGAGTTTTAGCAAACCAACTCAAAACCAGAGAATAAAAAAGTAAGCTGTCTTTTATACCCTTATTTTAGGCTTTAACTATTTTAACCATTATTCCACTTTTAATTGGTATCAGAGTCTAGCAACAAAATTGAAGAAAATTTTTTTGAACGTTAGAAATATATTCTAAGATGAATGGAAAAGATAAAATAATTTTTGAAGAATTACAAAATATTAATATATTAACTAGAACTAATAAAATTAAATTACAAGAATTAGCGACAATTCTAAGTACTGAATTTGAATCTTTAAGTGAAGAGATAAAACAAATTAATAACTCTCAACAATTAGTTGAAATAAAAAACAAAGTATTACAAATTTTGGTAGATGAATCTTCCGAATATGAAGAATAAGATATTATAATAGATCAATTTTTAGAACAGTATGATTAGTATACCCAACCTTTAAAAAAAATTGATATTTTAAATCAAGATTTCATAAGTCATATCAAGAATATGGAATCAAATCTAGAAATTGTTAATAATAATATTAAGATAAGACCAAAAATCTTATATAAACAAATTGAATCAAAATTTTAAGATTTGAAACATAAAAAAGAATCTTATGTCTCAATTGAACTACCTTTACCAGTTTATGTTATAGAAAAATTAGAATCAAAATTCTTTGAAACTAGTGGAGAAGAATAAGAAGCTTATAAATAAAGTTTAGAACAATTAACTATTCAAATCGAGAATATATTTATGAATGATCCTCAACCGAAAGACGAAACTACTGAAATTAATACTCTGCATTTAAATCAACAAGTTGAAAATCAACCGCTAGTAGGAGAAACAAGTAGAAATAATAAAACTACAGATTGGACTCAAGTCGAATCTGATGACTGGAATTTGAAATGGATAAGAGAACATGGAAAAGAAAGAGAAATATATAATTTTAGAAAAGAACCTAAGCCTATTTCTACTAAGAACGTAAATCTTAGGGATAATAATCCAATTAAACTATTTACTGAACCAATTCCTACAACAGGAATATGGCTAAATGTTGATAATAACAATAATAAAAGTGAAATTATTGACTCATGGGCAAAAGCTACCAATTTAGCTGTTGCTTTTCATAAATGGAATACCACTCAATCTTATAACTTTATAATTCATACATTTAGAGGAATTACTTCAGATATCTGGAAAAGAACTTCTGAAGAAACAAAAAAAAACTAAATATGGAGAAAAATTTACTACTACTATAGATAGCAATGAAAGTTTAGATACTGAAAATTTTAAAGAAGTTTTAAAACGAATAGAAAATTTCTTTAGATAAATATTATTATGAGAAATTATACCATAAACTAAGATTTATATGATTACTCAAGAAACTTTACAAGCAGAAAGAGAAATGGAATTATTAAAAATATGTGATATGTGTGAGTTAAATGAATATACTAAGAAATTTGAAAAAATATATATCAAATCATCCAAATCTATTAAAAAATGGAATCTATATGATGAAGATAAAAAATTATTAAATATATATTTTCTTAAATCACCTTGGCCATGGAGTCAGAAATTATTTGAAGATTACCAAATCTATTGGAATAAAATAGAATGGAAAAATCATAACTATAGACAGATACTCTAAGAATGAAAACTTCATTTACTAAGAGAAAAATATCTGAATTGTGTAAAAAATCAATGTATCAACGCTTATTTAGGAAACATGGTAAGAAAGCTAATTTATGTTGTTATGGAGAAATAGCAGCAGTACCACAATTTGGTTGTCACCAACCATCTAAAAACCTTATTCTAAAAGGAAATTTAAAAGATATCTTAAATCTTGAAAGAAAAATAAAGGATTTAAGAACCATAAGAAATATTTTAAGAAGAAAAAACTATGGAAAAAGGAATTTAATAAATATAGAAAATCTCAGAAAAAATCTAAAGAAGAATTTTATAAAAAAATGTAAATATTTTACATGTAATGAAATAGGATATATATATCTCCCAATTATCCTAATAAAAATAAAAAATAAAATGTCAAATCTATTAAATTAATGGAAGAAATAGAATATGAGATAATTGAAGATTTAGATGAACTATCTGAAACGGACTCAATCTATGAG